GATTGTTGTGTTCGGAGACTTTAACTGTGTGTGTAACGTTAGCGACAGATCAGTGCCTTCTACAAGGCGTAATAGCAGTGCCGAAATTTTGAACAGTCTCACATCTGATTACTACCTTTTTGACGTTGGAGCTTCGCAAAACGTTTCTAATCGATTTACCCATCTTCATGCAACATGCAATGCGAGACTGGATCGCATTTATGTATCAAGTCCCCTTTTTGCACAAGTGAGTGCCTACGACGTAAAGCCAGTTTCCTTCTCGGATCATTGCCTTGTAAGGGCGTGCATCGGTAGAGACGTACAACGTAAATCACCACCAAATTGGGCTTTATGGAAATTTAATACGAGACTATTAGAAGACAAAGAGTTTAGCAAGCGAGTCCGAGGAAATCTTAATAAAGCGAGTACGAACCACCTATTCGGCATTTTTGCCCAGTGGGTTTCGTTTAAACAAGAAATTAAGAATGAAGCAATTGAATGCTCGTGCATAACATCCTTCCATGCAAAGAAAGACAAAAATCTTCTTTTACGCAACCTACAGACCCTCCACGAGCTAGAGTGTGAGACGCCTGGTCTGTTTCATGAAGAAATACTACGAGTGAAATGTCAGATACAAAGTCACGAACAAAAACGGTTCCATGGAGCACTAGTACGGTCTCGTTGTAGACGGTTTCTATCCTCTGAGACACCCACTCGACGAGCACTTGACGATGAGACTCGAAATAGACAGTCAAAAAGAATACAACTTCTGAATAGTAACGGGGCATTATCATCTGACGAACTTGACATCATGAATGCTTTTGAAACACACTACCAGAGCCTCTTCGGGCAAACGCAACCGATAAATAAAGAAAAAGCTAAATATCTAGTCTCGTTGATGCCCCAGGTTAGCCAGCTTAAGAGTGATCTCCTTGGTAGACCAATCACATTGGAAGAAGTACAATGCGCGATAGATGAATTACCAAAATCAAAAACACCAGGGCCCGATGGACTCCCAGCAGTTTTATAAAGAATACAAAGACCTCCTAAGCCCGTTTCTACTTAAAGTATTTCTGGAAGCAGGGATGGGCAGTATTTCAATTACAAGTATTTGAAATACGTATTTAAAATACTGTGTGTATTTTGCATTTGTATTTAATTACAAATTGGGTAATGTATTTGACGTGTGTATTTAAATACTAAAACGTGGGTATTTCAAATACAATTGTAATTAAATACAACTTTGCGGGCGAAAATATATCCCTCAAATTTATTGTCACTGTCAGAGCAGGAAGAAAACTACGTTCTGCACCAAATGCAGTGTCTCTCAATCAAGCACAAGCGTTTAGTGATTGTGATTACGGTGCTAGTCCAGGGCAAGAATAGTGACGTAATCGACATTCCCAGGCAGACTAGCCAAATAAGTGCCTGTGACAGCTTGTGATGCTTTCCAGCCTTATTTCGATCCATATTTTTGCCTGGAACATTCTAAATGCGCGGGTCGACCAGATTTTCGTAACTGGTGCGAGTTGCAGCAATAAAAATTCTCTAGCTAGCGCAGCGCGTCTTGGTCGTCTCGGTTCTTTGTTGGTCTATACCAAAATGTAATCGACAAAAAAAGCTGCTTGAAGCTCTCTACTTTTTTCCCCTATTACGTCCAAGCTGATTACATTTTTTTTTCTTGATTATATTTCTATTACGTTACTAGAGCCTCGCACACTAACTCCCGAGTGTGCGATGCAAAATTAAAATGAGATACCCAGAAACCCGTTGCAGGTGCCCTGAAGTCGCTGACGCAGCTTTTGAGGAATGTATTTGGAAAAGTATTTGGAGGGAGACCAAATACATTTGGTTGTATTTGTATCTTGTACTTAAATGCTTTTTTGAAAATGTAATTAGATTTGTAACTAAATACATTTTTGACGAAGTATTTTGTATTTGTATTTCGATACACATTTGCATGTATTTTGCCCATCCCTGTCTGGAAGCGTATGAGCAGGAAACACTACCACCTTCTTTTCATAAGAGCCATACAGTTTTAATCCCAAAAAGTAAAGAGGCAGATAAACTCCTGAATGTTGAAGGCTAGCGCCCTATTACACTCTGCAATATGGACAACAAAATCTTTGCAAAAATTCTGACAAAACGACTTCAATACATCACATCCAGCGTTGTTGGCAATCACCAGACTTGTGGAATTAAGGGCAGAACGATGCAGACAAACATACACGCAGCTCGTACAATAATAGAGAGCTGTTGTGCTCATGCAGATCAAGTGGCTATGGTTCAAGTGGATTTAGCAAAAGCTTTTGATCGCGTCTCCCATATTTTTCTATTCGACATACTCCGCCACGTAAACTTAGGACCAACACTTTTTAAAGGAATAAAGATATGCTACCGCAATTGTACCACTAGGCTTATAGTTAATGGCTCTCTGTCAGGTCCGATTCGTCTAGAGTCATCTGTCAAACAGGGATGCCCCTTGTCCCCCCTTTTGTTTGCACTATATTTAGAGCCCCTATGTCTAAGCGTACTAAATAGCCCTACTGTAGAAGGATACCGTTTCTACTCCACAGAGGTAAAAGTGTTGGCATATGCGGATGACATTGCATTCTTCTGTAAGGACAAACGAAGCGTAGACAATGTGTTCGCTTTAGCTCAAAACTTCTGTTCCACGACTGGGGCGCTCATCAACAAGGCAAAGTGTACAGGCTTCTGGTGCGGGCAATGGGCCACAACACCTTCCAAGTACGCTGGCATTTCATGGAGCTGCATTGCTCCTCAGTACTTAGGAGCTCCCCTTAACTGCGTTAGGAACAATGGACATTATTGGACAGAAAGGATTGAAAAGATGAAAACTCAAGCGGCAATAATGAAAGTAAATCAGTGGTCTATATTTGGACGGGCGAAAGCCTGTAATATCTTCTTAGCAGCAAAACTTTGGTACGCACTTCAGGTGATTTGCTGTACTAGAGGCCACATTCAGAAGTTTCACAGAGTGATTGCAACTTTTGTATGGGGTTCCACTTGGGAACCCATGAAACGAGATAACCTGTTTCGTTCCGTTGAGCAAGGGGGTCTCGGGCTTTTACACGTATTTTTAAAACAAATTATATCACGCTTCTTGTTCTTCAGAACTGTGTCTCATGACTTCCTTCGAACTTACATGCAGGCAGAGCTTTCAAGTGCGTTGCCGTATTTGGTAGTAACAACAGTGCCTGCGAGCACATCTCGTCCATTGGGATATCTCAGAGAGGTAGTGAGCTCAATGGAGTTCCTTAAAGCACGTTTTTCCTTGGAATACTTATTTAAAGTGTCGCGGAAAGCTTTATATGTTGATCTCATCGATGCATTATTTCCTATACCCCTGTACCGAAGTATGTTCAGTAATGGCCCGGGACAAGACTTCCTGAAACGTGTGTGTAAGCTACATGTCTCACCGACAGCGAAGTCATTCTTTTATAAGCTCCACACTTCAACGTTGCCGGTAAAGCTTGGCTTCGCGAAAAAGGTATATTTGTTCCTTGGTCAGTGAGCTGCCGTTTGTGCAGCCAGCCTGAAACAATAAAACATTGCTTTATTTTTTGCACCGACGCCTATTTGTTTTGGGATGTCCTACAAAGGACATTGAAGAAAGATCTGAATATCTGTGCATATACGATACGTTTTTTGCCTTTAAACCAAAATGATACTTTTCCTTATGACCTGTTCACATTGATGGGTCTGCATAGCCTTTGGCAAACAAGGATGATTGATAGAAATGCTGATCCACGGTCTACAAAGTCCAATTTTATAGAAACTGTGTCACATGTACGTAATGTCTACGACCACCTCAAGAAACGCCCAGAATGGTATACCCTTCTTGACAAATGTCTTCATCTTCCCGACTTTTAGAGATGTGACCCCATTCGAAATATGTTACCATAGCCCTCCTTCTCCGTATTTCCATGTGGCCATTATCAGCCAGTTTGAATGTAAATAAGGGATAGCTCTGTTAGAGTGTATCTCGATTGTTTTTACTGTCCTTTTTCCATGTAATAAATACAAAAAAAGCGTTGGCATAGCCTAGGGGTTAAGGTGTCCGATTTGTACGCAGGTGGTCGCGGTTTCGATCCGCGGTGGTCCTGCTTTTTTTCTTTTTTTTTTTTTTTCTCGAACATTTTGTTTTATCTAGGCATTTGGCGATACTTCTGAGTGCGTATAGCTTTACTCTTATATAAATGCTGCCCTTGTTGATGAAATTCCCTTGGCAGTGGCAGTCAGACGTCATCTGATGGACCATCAGATGACGCCTGATGGTCCATCACGCTCCACCAAGGCTGCAGACTGGCAGTCAGTGTCCCAAATTACGTATCTTGATGGAATTTTCAATAGGGTTGCCATCGGCTGTTAAACCTCAAATGGATTTGCGGTGGTCCCAAGACACAGTCAAGAGTATCTAATGCTTTCTCTGGCCATACTTCAGTCTCGTTAGCCTGCTCTATCAGCTCAGTCAACGACACGATCATATATTCCATCAAGTACATTCCATCAAAGACCACCACATACGCAATCAGGGACATTCCATCAGTGGCAATCAGACGTCATCTGATGGACCATCAAGGCACGTTCCACCAGAAGACATCATGACTCACAGTCAATGTCCGCAATTATGTACCTGGTGGAATTTTTAAGAGGGCAGGCAGCTGAGGCTGCTGAATTTGCGCCACGAATATTGCGGTGCACTGTAAGTCTGGTTTAGATAAATTTAAACGGTAACCGTTGACATCTACGGTCACCGATTAAATTTACCGTAAACCAGATCTACAGGGCACCGTTATTTTTACGGTACAATTTTAGCAGTATCAGCTGCCTGGTATATGCTCCTAAATTTTACGGATCATTTTTTAGAGTGTATTCACTCTTCGTCTTTCGTCGCCAAAGGCGCTAAACGTTTCTTAGAACCTCCTGCCACTTCCTAGGCTCTCGTGCCGCCGTGTGGGTAAGAGGTGGTTCTGTACACAGTGTTTCGAGATGCAACTCCCATGACACTCGTTTATTTCCTTCAATTTGATGTCTACGTTTCAGCCGGTCCTGGCCAACATTCTCCTAAAGACTTGAAAGTGACAGCCGGTGTCCCACAGAAGACAGTGTAGATAAAAAAACACCAGCTATTCACTCGGTCGGAATCATGACGACCGGCAGTGAATAGTTCGCACACTGTAAGGGAACAAAATACAGATATGAGATACGGAAAGTATCACTCCAATCTTGGCCAATATCTCTCTATTACATCTGCAGTCATTCTTTGTTTTTATGAAAGCTGGTTTTGAGCGCAATAATGCTACTGCGTTCACTATATCTTTGCATATTCTTGTATGGTCGCTTTCTGTATACATTCTCATAATAATAGTTCGAACGTTCTCCAGCAACGGGAAACACGAGACCGTTAAAAATAGCCTGGGCACTCGCAGAACGAATCACTGTGGTCTGCGGAAAGAGGACGAGATGTGATAGGTTTAGTGTCAGGTCACAGTTTTCAGACTATTTTTAAACATATTTTCGGCATTGTCAATCGTCAAGCTCCGTCCATAGATAGCTGCAAATAGCTCTCTGAGGTTCCATCCGCTCCTCCTCAAAAGGAACGGGAGAAAGTAGATGAACAGGCATTTTCTATAATCCGTCTGATCGTAACTTGAAAAACGGCGAAAGCTATGGTCCCATTGAGCCACTCAGCGCATTGGAGGGAAATACGATAGTATACGCCATCTCAGTAGTTGCACGCTGTGCTGTCGAAGCCACGGGCGAGAGAAAGAGCAAGTCCGCAACGCTTTTTCAGTGAGAGGGTAATCTTTGAAGGGACCAAAAGCGATTTCTGGGGCACACAAAAAATTATCCGGGTAAAAGAAAGTTCCTCTTTTCCCTTTTCTCAAACTGCTTGAATCACGCTCTCACCCCTGTACCTTTAGTAAGGGCTGCCACGTGCTTCACCTCCGTCGGTCTGAGGGGCTGGACCGGGCAGTAGCGTTTGCTTTGCCAAGTTACGGTGAAACGAAATATAGAGTGTGCTGGGTTTACTAATCTTTCGCAAATTTATACTATACTTTATTTAACCTCAAATCAAAGTGCAGGCAAAGGATAGAATGCATGCACACAGACACACATTCCAAGAAAAAAAAAGGAAAAAAAAAAGTTACCAACGGCGCGTTTTCCTCTTTTCTACTGATGCGCCCCCAAGCGGACACGAAGAGAGGGGAGGAACGAGACGTCTTTCTCTTTTTCCAGGCAGACAGGAAAAAGTTTTGGCCTCCCGCCTCATCTTGTTTCGGTGTCTATTTTGGAGCACGTCGCTCGCGCTGTTTAGTAAACGTTGTGGAGTTGACTGAGCTACAGCAGCACGAAAGGCCCCATGTAATTCCGTCTCCCAGTTCAAACGTGCAGAGTATTTCGGTTGTATTGATGTTTTTACCACAAATTTTGTCGAAGTAGCAAATGAAGCAGTTCGAAACAGAGGAGTTCCGGAGCAGTGCCAGTAGCGTTAACCTACACTGGGCTATGACGACCCTCTCCGGATTGCGGAACTATGCGGATCGACATGTCGACGTTGACAACATTATCGGCTGTTCCTCGACTGTTCATTTTTCTTCTACTTTGAAACTTTCCTTTTTTCCTGCCTCAGTCTCGGGCTAAAAACAAAATGATCAACATACACCAGCTGACCTGCGCAATCACTACGGCTATGTTCCAAATCTTACCCGAGTAACCTGCCTCCTACGTCAGCGGGTAATACCACGTGACATCGCAAGTAAACGATCCGCGACTCGATTTTGGAACGGCCAGGATAATCACCTGGATACTACGCGGATTGGCTTCGTCTTGGGCGACGGCAAAAAGAAAACGCAGCAGCGATGGCAGAAAATAGCAGACGATCCTTTTGATCATGGAGAAAGCAATCGAAGAACGGTAATGTTAATGACGACGCGGTGTATTTTGAGGTGGATCCGCCAGCTCCTTTTACTCACCTTCGTTTTGAGCTGTATATTGAGATCAAAATTACTTACTCCTTACAGCTAGACATAAAAAAATGTGTTTTTATTAATCAGCGCGATCGCTGCAATTCTAGTCACGGTGCCCTAAACGCATATATTCCACGCATTGTAATTTGCACCGATTATGTTTTGCAGAAATATATTCCACACGGTGTAGCGGTCCAGCGCGAGGGTGCTTTCTCCAGAATATGAAACTCACGTTCGCTTTGACGCGAATGTGATTACAGTGAAATTTTCGAAGCCTTCACTGCTTTACAAACGTTATCCTCTCATTACACACACTCTGGAGGAAACAAAAATATTACATTATCATATAACGAGTTCAAACATTTTCGGCCTTGAACGTGAGATTACGGCATCCCCCAACGCCGAGGACGAGGATGCGGAGAAGCTCCTGTTTTCGCTCGCACTCAGATAATAACAAGTACACGTTCCCGGGGAAGGTGGACGGTCTGGATTAGTGCCACTAAATAAGCTACGCTTCAGAGTAACGACACTTGGCCATATTGTGGCTTAAGATCATGGTTGCCTGTTATCTGAAGCTTTATCTGAAATTACAGAAAACGCTTTTCCGCCCTCAACAAATGATTAAACAGTTTGCTTCAGAGAGAATCAATATCACATAAGCTTCCTAACACCGAATCTAATGCTGAGGAAGTCGCACTTCTGAACCTTGACGATCGGCAGTTGCGTCTGCTCTGCACAAGCCCCAAGATGGCGGCGCCCATAACAATGTCGGGGAACGGAGTGCCGATACTCTAAGCGCAGCTCATTTAGTGGCTCTAGTCTGGATGTAATGCAGTCAATTCCTGCGTTGACAACAGCAAATCGCAATAACCACACATGCTGCACCTAATTCTTTGTCATTTCGAACGTCCGCCACCAAAACCAACGGAGCAAGCGAGCTTTGACGGCTGTCGGCGCAGAAAGCAGACGACGAACAGATCACGTGACGTATTTACTCGATTTGATCCGACTTTACCCCCCGATCGAGGAGGGTAGCGCGAGTAATTACTCCGGAGTGAACAACCCGCTTCTGGAACGCGAGTTCTGACGTCATCGAGTAAGCTCGAGTAAGTTTTGGAACGCCACGGTACGAAACTTTTACTCCGGAGTCGGATCGAGTAAATTTTGGAACACAGCCCACATTATCAACATTATGGAGTTCGCGGAAACTGAGTTCAAGACAACATGCTGCCGGGTGCCTGCGTATCTTCTGTGCTGCGTTTGGCTCGATTTCCTGATGCCGAGTGCCCATCGACCATCAACCTGGTTTCGTATTTTCGCGTGCCACCAACACAGCAACAACATCGCGATGGCAGTGTAGCGCGTTGTGAACGAAGACTGAAACTTTCGCCGATGTGACCGTGTTACCCTGTGACCAGGTGTTCGCGTATCAGTTGTGTAACAGCAAAAAGAGATGACGTAACCTGTCGGGCATAAATGCCGCTGATCGCGCCGGGATTGGAGGGGGCGGAGTGTGACAGGTTGACATTCTGCTTTACTTTAAAGAGTTTAAGACCGCTCGAGAAATTACGGTGCAATCAATCGATCTCCGGATACTAGTCATGTTGGAACGCAGGTCAGAACCGTAGCTGCTATCGTACAGTAACAATGTGATTGTCGTCTGCGATGTCCACTTCACGGAAGCTATTGCACTCTGGGGGAAGGACTGAACAGTGTTGAAATATGACGTAAAGTACTATATCTACAGTTCAAAATTTTACCATTCGGGGGAAATGGTAGGTAAAAGCGACAAAAAAAACGTTCGTTTGTTTTACTTTTTTAAATATACTATGGTTCCAGGAGAAACTGCAATCTCAGGCGCGTTGAGATGAGCCGTAGAAGTTTTCAATCTCACCACGGCGTAGCTCCGTACTCTTAACACCTGCCGCAAGTCGCGGCTTTGACTGCATTCCTGTTGGTCGAAAAGACGTTTTTCTGAACATGAAGCATCGCTTCCAGCTAGGAGAATACCCCCTCTACAAAGATTCAAGACGACAATTCAAACCAAATGGAAACAGCACACATTAAAAAAACTGGTGTCCTTCGCGCCGTTCTACGAGGTGATGTGATTTCACTCAAAACCTTGCGAGTCTCCGCTTAGCGAAAAATGCTATAGCTTTTTGTCGTCAACAGTTGGACAATACCTAAAAGCTTCCTAAACGGATATCAGAATATCATGGAGTCAGCCAAAAACGAGGTGGCCGACGGTAGCGACTATCCAGCGAGTATATTAACACTGATCATGAGAGACGACTGTAATTTAACAGTTACGTTTTCTGTAGTATTGATCATACACGCATAATATATCTCGGCAGTGTGTTTCGATATCTTCATTCGGGGGGCTTGAAGTTAACATAACACCACACACGTCCTACAATTACTAAGACCGACCACAGCCAACGCCGTATACGATCAGGTAGGGTACAAACAAAGAGCTCCTAAGTTGCATCGTTGCGTCGCTCGTCGTATTTGTGCGTTTCCTATTACCGGCATACCAATACCGTGCAAAACAAAAATCTCCGGATCGATCACGGTGCCTTCCCTGTGCGTGATTGGTTTAGCTCGAGATAGCGAACGCACAAAAAGATATGAGCGCGATGGCGCTACAGTTTTAGCGCTTCTTGTTTCGCTCTATCGGACCATAACGGTAACTGAGATTGAACTTCAAGGAGCTGTGCAACAATCTTTGCACTTTGCGCCAATACCGCTTAGAACGAATCCCTGATGTTTAAGACCAATGAAACACGCGTTCATTCTTCTAACCCATGGCTATTCGGAGAGAAAGTCGTTTGCTTCTAGCGTAGGGGGTTGCGGTGACGTCATAACGACGCGGTGTTCTGATTGGCTTTGATTGGAAGGATAGTGGGGTGACATCGATTCTAGATGCCTTAAGGTACACCCACTATTTTTTTTTTTAATCAGCCAATAAGAGGTCGGCCTTCTGACATCGTCGCAACCCCTGTGCAAGAAGCAGGCGAACTTGCGCTCCACATTGCATCCAGCTATTTAGCAGCAGTACGAAGTACCGGTGCTGCTAAATAGCTGCACCGGTACGATGCCCATGTTGGTGCATAGGTACGATGACTCTAAGTCTCCGCCGTCCTTCCTTAAGCGCACCATGGAACTTCTCATTCGCAAGCGACGATAGGTGCCGTCACGGCACTC